CAACCTGTCTTTTGTTTCAGTCACGCAGTAGGCACCCAGACATTTCTCAACTAAGGAACCAATGGTCCAGGTGGAAGGAATCCATCCCCATTTCAGCCTCCTCCCCCACCCCACCGCACCCCCAGCCTCCAGAATCCCCCTCCCCACCCCCAGCCCATGCAGACTAAAATAGTCATTAGGCAGATTTCAAAAGATGTCAGTAGCTTATAATTATAGTCGACATCCTTCTGAGATAAAAGTGATTACCTTGGATGCAAATCACTTAGCAACCAATCAGGGCGGTGGGCGGCGCCCGCGGAGGTGACCCGCGCGCAGCCCTCCTCCCGCAGCCCGCCCCGCACCGGCAGAGAAAGCGCACAATAGCTCTTGACACGCAAATGGGTTAACACAATAAAGGCGGCTCCGGCCGCTGCTGGGGGAGAGCAGCAATTCCCGGCCCGCGGGAGGTAATAAAGCGGCCCTTTTGTGCGCGCCTCCTCGTTCTCACCCCCGCCCGGAGCCCAGAGGAATCTCCGCCTGATTGAATTACGGTTCATGAATATGAGCTGCTCCACTCGCTTCCTCCGTTTGTGGGGGGCTGGAAGGCGGAGGAAGCAGAAGGAAGATTGGGGAGGGGGGCCCCCTGGCCGGGCCGCAGCCCTCCAGGAGCTCAGATGGGAGCCACGTGTGCTCACCACGTGGGTTGCCCTGGGTAGGTGGGTGGGAGACCCAGCAGAGGCAGCTGGAAGGGTGGAGGTCTCTGACCTGCTCTAACCGCCTTTGATCTTTAACTCCAAGAGGGTCTAGGAGAGCCATTCAAAGCCCCGTTCTGAGGACAAGCCTACCAGTGGCCTGGAGAATGTGCATTTACTGTTCACCGCCTGTGCTCTGCCCTCACTGAATCCTTAAAGCTACCCTGGGCAGTGGATGCTACTATCAGCTCCTTCTCACAGATGAGGAAACAGAGGCTCAGAGAGGCAAAGTTACTCACTCAAGGTCACACACCCAACAAGGGTAGACCCACTCCACAGCCTGGCTCTTAATCAAGAGCCACTGGGCATTAAGAAGCCCGGCCAGCCCAGCCCTGGTCCAGAGCAACTGTGAGGCTCAGAAGGGCCAAGGGATGGGGTGAGCTTACACGGAATTAGACCGGTGATAAGGATTACTGCGAGTGGGAGGTAGGTAGCTAACCTTGAGAGAGGAGACTGCCCAGAGAGCTGAGAAGGTCCTCCCTGCCCCTGCCGGACTGGAAGGGATGTCCAGGGTCACCGTTCCGGTCAAGGAAGCCCTAACTGGATCCTCTCCCCTGCTTAAACCTCTCCGATCACCTAAGCCTTCAGGACTCACCCAGCCCAGGGATGCCCCTTCCCCTCATCCGGCATACCCCAGCACTCACGGGGCACAGCCACTCCCAATGGCCAGAACAGTCTCCCACTCCCCTGCCTGGTGGGGCTCAATTTGTCCCCTCTGAGAGTCACATGGCACTCCTGCTACAGGGTCCGTCCTAACAGTCAGCCTTGGTGGGGAGCCAGAGTTGCCACTGTCCCACCTATATCCTTCCACCAGCTGCATGCCTACCAAGAGGGTCCCTGGACGACTGAGGGCAGCCTCACACCCCTCCCTGCAGTGAGCCCACAGGGGCAGATGACAAGGAGCCTAGGGCTGGCTCTCTCAACCTTTCCTGGCAGGCAGGTTTCATACCCCAGTGCTGGAGAAAGGGGTGCTGGGGAAGGGGGAGCAGGCTGCCCACAAGGCCAGGTTGGATGCTGTGACTGCTCGACACCGTCCTGTAGGTACTGGGGAAGCAGGAGTCACACCTGGGTTTGGGTGCAGCAAATCCTCTCAGAGAGGCCAGGCTCCCTCCAGGGTAGACCGCCCTGACTCTTACAGGAACCCTGTCCAACAAGTGGGGGTGCCTCCCCTGCACCCATGTTAGGAAGTGGGACGACATGGAGACGCTGGGGCCAAGGCAATTCAGAGCCCAACCTCTGCAGCTGCCTGGCTGAGCACCCCATAGCCTGCCACTTTCTCTGTGTGAGCCTCAGTTTCCTCATCTGTCAAATGGGCCACAGCCCATGAGCTACTCCAAGGAGTAACTGAGATGCAGTAAAATGCCTGGCACATAGGGAGATGCTGGGTAAGCTGGTACTCCCTCCCGCTTGTCGCCTGGTGCTATTGCCAAGCCCAGGGAAGGGAACAGAAGGAACTGCCCAAATCCGACAGCCTTTCCCTCCGCCTTGGCAGTGGAAGTGTAAATACTCCACGGAGGACCTCCAACTGCCTGTGTTTGCGGATCTCTGGCGCGCACTCCGAGTTTGTTTCTAAACTGGGAAGCTTCGAGAGGCAGCGCAAACAGCCCTTCTGCCCACCTCCCCCACTTCTACCCCCATCTGCTGTTGCTCTGTCCTTGGAAGCCTGTGTGTTTAACGACACCATTTCAGCTGGAAATATCATCTCCCTGCCAAGCCCCCAAAAGCAGCTCCACTGATATTTATTGACCTGTTAATCTAGCTAGAGAGCCTGGCAGGAGAAGAGAAAAAAATGCTCGCTGCGTAGAGACTGGGGCCTGGCTTCTCTTAACGACCCCCCGCATGCACTCCCCTCTGCGGTCACCCCACCTCACGCTGCTGAAGCAATGACACAGTTCTCTAACCTTTTCCTAGAAACGTGATTACAGCAGTTTCACCCACATCCGATGCTGGCAGCCATCACTGGAAGGAACTTAGAAGAGGAATTGAAGAGCCAGCAGCAGGATGCGGGCTGGGGGTTCTCTGGGCCTTCACAAGGAACGGGGCTGGGGCCGAGGCTGGGGCGTGGTGGGGAAGAGAGGGCTGGTGTCGGAGGAGCCCTGCGAAGCTGGCCCCTGGCAGGGGCACGTTCAGCCAGACCTTGGCGCTGATGGGCTTGAATTGCCCTCCATTCACTTAATGAGCTCCATACTTGGCTTGTCAAAATCATCTTAAACACCAAAGGGAGAGTGGGGCAGCCAGGAGTTCAGGTTTGGCCAAGGCTTGTCATCTCAGGGTTGAGCAGCATGGAGAACCCCCGGACTTGAGCGGCAGCATGCAGTAGCACCTCTGCACCTTCCCTGGCCGGCGGCAGTCACCCGTATTTCCCTGAGCAGTAGTAGCCTGCTTTAAGGCTGGGGGCCCAATCTCTCTGGGGACCCCAGAACGTCTGCTGGGGTTCAGGGAGATCTCTGTAGCATCCCTTTTGAAAGCAGAAAGTTGCTCTGCTTGGGAGCCCTGCACCCCTAGGCACTGCCAGGCTATATGGGCAAAGCTGAACACCTGTCTTGGCGGGGAGGAGCATCAGCAGGGACAGCTGGCACTGCCTCCCTCCCCCACCTCATCGGGGCGTGGGGGATTTAGGTCAGAGCACTGCAGCTGGGGGTGGGGGAAGTCTGCTTTCACCTCATCACTACCCAAAGGCATCCGGCCTCGCCCCCGGTTGCCACGACCCCGCTCCCTCCGGCCTTGGGTCAAGATGAGTCGTGTCGCCCTGGCAACCTCCACCCCAAGTGACGTCAGAGGCCTGGCAGTGACATCACGTATGGGCCCCACTGGGGTTTCTCGTAGGAACTCGGGCGGTAAGGGGGACCGTGGTATAGTCTAGCCTCAGAGGGCACAGTTCTCAATGCAGCCACTTGCTTGGTCGGGACTCCACGTTCCCCTCTGACACGTCTCTTGAAGATTTCAGAGACTACTTGGGAGAACCCCAAGGAGTCCCATCCAGCATGCCCCCCAAACCCTCTAAGCCCCGAGAGTTTCCGAGGAATTTTCAGATGACTGAACTGCTACCTTTGTTGGCTTTAGGGGTGGGGTGACCTTTCCTCTCTCGCCCACCCAGAAATCCACGAGAGTCCTCACAATCGGCTCTCAGCGTCCACTCCGACCGGCAGGCCGGTCTAGGCAAGTTGTGTGCGGAGGGGCAAAGGGGCAGGCAAGGGGCACTGCTGCTTCAGGATCCCCAACAGCCCAGAGCCTCTTCATTTCCAATCCTGCCGCCCCGACGCCAGAGGGTGCCCCCAGCTCCACCCCGGAACCCCGCCCCGCGGAACTCACCGAATCAGCCAGGCCGTCGAAGAGCACCAGGTCTCAGCGGCTACAACTCTCCTCTCGCCGGGTCGCAGCCATGCAGAGGTGGCAGAGGCTGCCTGAGGAAGCCCCCCTTGGGGGCCGATGACTCTCTCCAGGTGGGAAGGGACGCTGTCGATGAGGTCGATCCAGGT